TACCTGCCCTACGCGCTGGGCGGCGGCTACGTGCTCTCGGCCGACCTGGTGCACTACCTGCGCCTCAGCCGCGACTACCTGCGCACCTGGCACAGCGAGGACGTGTCGCTGGGCGCCTGGCTGGCGCCCGTGGACGTGCAGCGCGAGCACGACCCGCGCTTCGACACCGAGTACAGGTCGCGTGGCTGCAGCAACCAGTACTTGGTGACGCACAAGCAGAGCCCGGAGGACATGCTGGAGAAGCACCGGACGCTGGCGCGCGAGGGCCGCCTGTGCCAGAGAGAGGTGCAGCTGCGCCTCTCCTACGTCTACGACTGGTCCGCGCCGCCCTCGCAGTGCTGCCAGCGGAGGGAGGGCATCCCCTGAGCCCGCCGCGCCGTCCTGCTGCGCGGGGGCGTGGGACACGGGAGGCCAGGCCGGGAGGGGGACCTGGTGGACCCAGTGGCCGGTGGGGCTTTGGAGCAGATGCCGACACCACGCTGCGCCCAGGGCTGGCACCTCGGCGGCTCGTGTCTCGTTCTGGGTTTGGGAGACCTGTGAGCCCAGCCCGGAGGTAGGCTTTGTGTGCGCGGGCGGAACAAGCCCCACCCCGCACCCCTCGGAGACTCGTCCTGGGGCTCACCGTCCGCCGGAAGACCTCTCTGCACCGAGCTGTGGACAGCTGCTAACTGGACTGACCCGCAGGCACGGATGCTGCAAATCAAGTGTTTTCATCCAATCCGCTTTTACCAAAATTGCCGAGAATTTACCATCGCTCGCTCACATAGTCTTTTTTGTGTCTTGCTGGAATCATTTGTCACGTGTGAGTGTGAGATTTAACTTGGGTTCACGTTAATTAGCTTTGATGGTATCAGTCTGTGTCTCCCTAGAGAGAATTCGTGATAAATATAACGAATGTGTGCCTGTGACTTATTTACAAATACTGTAAATATGTAGAAAAGAGTTTAAGTTGGCAGTGTGCAGGTCCTGGTGTTTTTAAAATTATTTAAGGAAACGGGCCGGCCTGGTGGCGCACTGCTACAGTGCGCCGCTTGGGAGCGTGGCGGCACTCCCGCCGAGGGTTCGATCCCACATACAGACCGGCCGCTCACTGGCTGAGCGAGGTGCGGGTGCAACACCGAGGGTTGCGATCCCGTTGCCGGTCCCGGTCCTGTACGGGCGCGACACTGAGGGTTGCAATCCGTTGCCGGTCACGAAAAAAGACAAAAAGGGAAAAAAAAAATTATTTAAGGAAAGATTTTTATATCATAACTTGGAATGTGCCAGTTAATCTGTTTGTACAACTTGAGTCATTCACGCCGCTGCTGCATTTGTGTTTAAACATGAAAGAATTTTAAAACTGTCCATTTCTCTTTTTAGTTTACACATAAGTCAGCCCCATTGTCTCTTTCTGAAAAGACTTTCCTTTTAAGGCTTCTTGGTGCACTGCTCCCGTTATTTCAGATGCTGGGCCTAAGTTCCAGGAATCTAAGCCCTCGGAAGTGTTGACGAGGTTTCCCAAATTCTGCCTTAAGGACGCAGGATTTGCAGGCAGGCAGGAGGCCTCTCCTGTGTCTTGACACACCCTCCCATGCTGGGGGTTTGCTTTCCTGTACCCCCATTTAATGTGAAAAGTGAACACTGGTCATTGCAAAAGCTGCGTAGTGGCTCCAGCACACTCCAGCGACCACGAACCCTTGTCGCCCCAGCTGTGTGCAGAGGCTGTGCACTTTTCTTCTGGGGTCCGACTGGGGCTTCCTGTGTGAGTAACCTGGGTTGTGTTCCTGCCAGTCCTGTTGTCCCTCTCTAGGGCAGTGTGAAGGCACAAGCTCTGGTTTGCCTTTCCACAGTATTCTTTTGAGTTCTCAGGCTGTGAGCTTTAGGGGCAGGTTTGGGTTGTCTTTGTTTAAAGGTAGAAGAATATCCAGGACTTGGGGTCTGGAGGGTAAAGCCCGAGACCAGAAAGGAGGGCGGGGGTGTCTTGTGGTCAGTGACCTGAGCTGCCATTCTCCCACCTACAGAAGGTAGTGGTGGGACCAGAGGTCTGATAAGTTCTGATTGTGAGGTGTGGGCTTTTTGGCTGCCGCCTCGAAGCCAGGACTCCCTGCCCCGTGTACATATTGTTCACAGACAGGGATTCCTGAGAAGATGCTGCCTTGAGCAGCCAACGTGGGCAGAGACAGGGATGCTGTCTCTGTACCTGAGGGATGCTGATAGCACCAGGACCCCAGTTTCCTGCTAACCATTGCTACCTGGAATGTCCCCTCTGAATCTCAGGATTGTTTGAGGAATTGGCATGTGCGTATCTATTTTTTCAGATGAGGAAAACGTGCTTAGAGAGGCAGAACAGCTTGTTAAGGACCACATGACCAGAGGCAGAGCCAGGATTTGAACCAGGGTCTAGACTCCCCAGTCTACCTGGCACCGCCCAGTTCTGCATTGCTCAAGGGTCATCCCCCATGGAAAACGTAGCACAAATGCCCACCTCCTCTGGTGGAAGGTCTAGAAGTCCATGCACATGTTTGCAATTGTTTATGGAAAATTTTAAACTTACAGTTAACGAAGAAGACCCATCAGGTGTGTCCTTGGCCTGGTGAAGTGTGCCTCAGGCCGGGGCTTGCAAGCTTCAGGATGTGGTTGACGGCAGAAGAGTCCCAACATGCAACCAGTTTGACTTACAGAAATGGAAGTTTTGTACTATCCAACCTAAAACATTAAATTTTAAAACAACAACGCCTATCGTGGGCTGAAGTCCACATCCACGTTGTGCTTAATATGATATTGGGATTCAGGGGACATGTCAGAGCTACTGCCTGGACCTTCTGTGGAGTGGCTACAGCCACCTGCTTATCCGTGGGCCTGAGCCCATGGGCAGCCACAGGTCCTTGACTTTGAGGAGATGAGCTCTGGGTCTCTCCTGTCACCCCAAACTTGTCCTCCTCTGTCCTGCCCCCCAGACCAGCGTGGAGGCACCTGGAGTCGGCTCTGGCTCTCTGGGCAGCTGTGGGGACCTGCAGACAGGCGCATAGCTTTGCAGGGTCCTCATACAGTGTACCCTCCATCCCCTCAGACCTTCTCAAGGCTCCTGTTGTGGGCTGAATTGTGTCCCCAAACAGGTATGTATGAGTCCTAACCCTGTATTGTGAGCATGACCTCATTTGGAAGTAGTGTCTTTGGGGGTTCATCATGTTAAGGTGAGGTCACTGGGGTGGCATCCCTACAAGAAGAGGAGACAGAGACAGGGAGAAGTCAGCGTGTGGCAGAGGCAGAGATGAGGTTCCTCTATAAGCCGAGGCACGCTGGGGACGCAAGGATGGAGCATGGCCCTGCTGAGACCTTGACCTCGGCCTTCTGGCCTCTGGAACTGAGAGAATGCATTTCTGTCGTTTAAGCTGCCTTGCGTGTGGCACTTTGCTCCAGCAGCGCCTTGTGCCCACTTGCCTTTTGTCCTTTCCAATCCTAGACGCCACATGGGCACTCGCTGGAGACATGGGCAGGGGGCTCTGGCTCCCCCAGCCCTGGGGCATCACAAACTGCTCAGCCGCCGATGGGGCCCAAACCTTCCCACCTGCCAGTGCTCAGCAGACACCACTGTCCCGGGGACACACAGGCCTCTCTGGGCTGCTGGCCGACGCCCCACTGCCCGGGTCACACCTGGCCCTTCCCCCTCCTCCCAGCTGACTCACAACTCAGAAGGCACAGGGTCTGACGGGGGCGGCCAGCCTCCTCCCACGGCCCTGCCTGTCGCAGGCACCCTGACCGCATGGTGAGGCCCGCTGACATTCTCAGGAGTCGCCAGGCACCCCGGCAGTGGCTGGCCACCGAAGCTGGCCAGAGCGGGGTCTCCGGGAACAGGAGAGAGGAAGCCTTCATTCAAGGCCCTCGTTCAAGGCCTGCTCCCGGCTCCCCAGCGACACCCAGCTTGCTCCCGGGAGCCTGCTCTCTGGTTCTGGGGCTTGGCAGGGGCTTTGTTCCTGCTGTCTTCTTCTCGTGGAATGCTCTCGGGCTGCTGTCTTCCTCGAGGGAGCAGGTGAAAGTCCTCCCTGTCTGTCCCAAGGCTGTGCCTGCCCATATGCCTGTCCCCAGGCTGGGCCCATCTCTGGGCTCCTCAAGCAAATGCAGGTCTTTTGGGGTCACATCCCGAGCCCCTGAGGTTCTTCGTGTTCCCAGGAACCCCCAGCCTCAGCAACTGCACGGTTCTGTCTTCCCTTGGAGACTTCTCCGAAACCCCACCCAGAGGACCCTCCTCACCCATCAACCTGGCCTCTGTGGGCACCCAGTCCCCTTTCCTTTGGGCCCAGGATGGTCTCATGGCCAGCGTGAGGCCCCTGAGGGCCCACCCTCAGCTCCGGCCCCACAGTGCTCACAGCCACTCTCTCCCACCCCCTCAGCCCCATCCCTGGGCCTGCCGGCCGCTCCTGCTGGGCCCTGGTGTCCCTCCTCCAGCGGGTCCCTCGAGCCCACCTCGCCCCTTCCTCCCCAGGATCTTGAGCCCTCCCACCCTGGGGTCTCACCCAAGGTAGCACCGTGGTTGGGAGGGGCCAGAGCCCAGGGGGCTGCAGGGAGGTGAAGAACCCAGAAGGCCCCAGGCCCGCCTGAATCTGCCTCTCCTGGTCCTCTGGCCGCCTCAGGCCCCTGCTCTGGTCATGGAGCGGCAGGATCTGAAGCTGGCCTCGGCAGTGTCCCCTCAGCTCCGCTGGCCTGCCGCTGAAGGATGATGAAGGCTGGGGAGAGGCGGGGTCCCTGTAGGGTGACGGTGACACCGCAGGCCACGGCGCACGAGTAGACAGAACAGGAGCCCAGGTAGGGCCTGAGTCCAGCTCCGTGCCCCACTGACCCAGGGCCCGACCCGGCTCGGTGACCCGAGCCGGAGAAGGAAACCCAAGCCCCAGCCCCTCCCTCTGGTGGCGTCTGATGGTCTCGGCTGGCCTGGCCTCCCCCGAGGGGCCCCACGCCCCCCAGCCGCCCACCTCTGGTTCCGAGAGGGAGGACGGATGGCCAGAGCCAGGCTCAAGCCCCTGCCGGGAGGAGCAGGCAGCCCCCCACCGGCCCTTCCAGCCACAGAGGAAAAATCCACACGGCTCCAAAGCAATTGCCGGAAGAGCCTGGGAGGCTGAGGCCAGCGTCTCCTGCTGCCGAGGGCGCCCTGCAGCCCACGGGGGCCAGCGGGGCAGGGGGCCTGCAGGGAGGGGTCCAGCAGGGGCCGGGAGGCAGGCACAGGCTGGCAGCGGTGGGGTCGAGCAGCTGCGTTTGGAGCACCTCCAGTGCAGAAACCTGCTCCTCTACTTGCCCACTCGAGGGGCCGCGACGAGGGCGGGGCAGGAGGCTCCATCAGGCCGGGTCATACGTTTGACATGCCTGCTGTTGCAAGACTGATGTTATCACACTGGAGGAACCTGTGAGTCACTGCCCTGGAGCAGGGCTGCACCCCAAATCCTCCCAAACAAAGACCCTTTGTCCCCAAGCTCTCCTGTCCCAGGCCCACCTGTGCAACCATCAGACATGAGGGCAGGCAGGCTTGCCGATGGCAGCAGCAGGCACAGACAGGGTCGGGGCATGTTCCCAGCACCCAGACATGCTCCCCAGCTCACTTCGACCCAGCTCCAAGGACCAGGCTGCTGGAGACCCCGAGCTGTGGAGGTCCTGCCTGGTGCAGGGCCCTGAGGTCACATGGAGCTGAGCTGTGCTACACCCAGTCAGAGAGTGGGGGGCCTGGCTCCAACCTAGGAAGGCTGCCCAGCCACAGCCCATCCTAGGTCAGCGCTGTGCAGGCAGGACACTAGCCACAGATGACATGAGGCTCCCCTGCTGCCCCCCAGAGAGCTTCTCCCCAGCCCAAGGAGCCCCAAGGGCCTGGGCAGCCACCCCAGGGAGTCCAGCTGCAGGCCCTGGGCAGCAGCACCAGCCCCCTGGCCCACCAGCTGACCCTGTCCAGCATGACTGGGCCCCCAACACCAAGGACCCAAACACAGCCATTCCTGAGCTCCTTGACTGGCCAGCCAAGGGCTCCAGCCACTGCACCCTGGACACCTGCCCTGTGGTTTCTCTGGGGGAGAGGGAGCTGGTGATTATAACTCTGCAAAGCAGGCCCTGGTCCCTGGGCAGAGACCCACCCCACACATGCCACCTACAGAGACACTCAGACACTCAGGGCACCTGTGTGAGGATGCTCCCCACACTGCCACATGGCAGGAAAAACCCACAGGCTCCCAAGGCCAGGTAGCAGACATGCCACCCACATGGACACAGCCATCAACACAGGGTCAACACAGGGCGCCTGGTACATGCAGACCTGGACAGAGGAGTACAGACAGGTCTGTTCAGGCCCCCAGACACCCCCACACACCCCAGGCCACTCTCAGTCCTTGGCCCAGGGAACAGGAGTCAGAACGGGTGGTCTGGGTCTGGGACCCATGACCATACCTGGGAAAGCTCGAAGTGAGCTTCCTTCATAGTGACCTAGCAAGGGACAGGCAGCCAGGGGGCCCCTGGAGCAGACTTCACTACCAAACCCCAGATGCTAAACCTGGGCCCTGACCTCAAAGGGCCAGCCTGTCTGGCTGTGCCCCAGGACCCCCACGCAGGTACCCCCAGGGTCCAGACCAGCATGGGCAGGCTTCTTCCGCTCACCCAAGTCCCAGAGGGGACCACAGGTGGACAGGGATGGGGCGTTGCGCTGGCAAAGATGTCTACCCACAATAGCTAAGACCAGCCTCGAGCCCCCAGCCCCGCCCAGCCCTCCCTGCTGTGGCTCCTGCTATGGCCTGGGTGGCTCCCCGCTGAGCTGCCCACTGCTCCTTGCCCCCGAGAGGACTTTCCAGCCACCCTGAGCCTGACGTCCACATTCCTGTCTGCACTCAAGCCCAGGACAGTGCGCCAAGGGCAGTGGAGAGGCCGGCTCTGACCCAACAGTGAGGCAGCCCCCAGCACCCAGGGCTAGGTCTCGGTGCCAGGAGGGGTTGGTCCAGTCCAGCCAGGCTGCAGCCCCAAGACCAGGGCTCAGGAAGGATTCATCCCATTTGCGCCGGAGGCTGCGGGGTGCATCCCCTCCCAGGATGGCCAGGAGCTCTCTCACCACCCCCAGCCCTGGCCTGGCAGGCGGCAGGCTCAGGCCAAGGTTCTGGGAAGTCAGCCCAGGGGAGAGGTCAGTGAGGCCAGCCAGCACCGCCCACTGCTCTCTGGCAGGCTCAGGGTCAGGGGTCGATCCAAGGCCATCCAGCATTTCACTGGCCTCTCTGGCTCTGGCCCCAGCCAGGGCCGGGGAAGCAGCCAGATGCTTGAGCCACCCCAAAGCCCAGGAGAGAAGCACCATCCCCCCACCTGTGGGACCCCCCTGCCAGCCTGCCCTGAGCGGCAGCCCTGGCCTGGCCTGCATCCCACCCACAAGACACCACGCTTGGGCTGGGTGATGCCACAGGTGTCTCCCACACACCAAGAGCCCAGAGCCCCTTGAGGGCTCCAGGCTCCCCCAAAGGCTAGCACTGCAGCTTGGGGCAGGTCTCCGGGCAGTGAGGCCGAGAGTGGGTCCCGGCTGGTAGGGGGGCCAGCCTGGGCCCTCGGTGGGTTCAGTGCATAGGGCTGGTCTGGGCCTGGGGCCTGGACCTCTGGGGGCAGCCACCTACCCCGTCCCGCCTGCCGGTTCTGCTCCTGGGCCCCCTGCCATGGGGGCTCGGATGGAGACAGCACATTCCAGGGGAATTACAGCTAAGTGGCTAATGACTCCGATTAGGGGGCAGAGACAGGAGGAAGAGGAGACAGACGGAGGCAGGTGGAGCGGCGCCGACGCCGCGCGGAGGGCTGGGGCGGCCCACTCGTCCTGTCTCTCATCTCTCATCTCGTCTCCGTCTGTCTTTCCGTGTGGCCCTGGGTCCCGTTCTCTGGGTCTCCATCTCGTTCACCACAGTCCTGGCAGCAGCAGGATGAGGCAGGACCTCCCCATGCCCTGGGCTGGCAGGGTGCAGGAACCTGCTGTGGGGAAGGACCGGCAGGAGAGCCCCCGACCCCGTGCAGGCTTGAAGGGTCTCGCACAGGGTGGGGCTGCTGCTTGTGAGCCAGGACTGGGCCAGGCAGAGGAAGGAGCCTCTGGAAACCCGGCTGGGGGTCATGCTCCTGGAGGCTCTGCAGGCCATGCCCCGGCCCCGGCCCCCCTGCCCAGGTCCTGCTGTGCCCCCTCTCGGGACCCTGACCCTCAGCATCCCCACTGACCGGGTCCTGGGAAGCTCCTCCAGGGCGAAGCCTACCCCCTGCACAATAGGGCAGTGGCCCCGCTCCCTCTCAAGGTGCACCAGCTGGAGACCTAGAGAAGCTGGGGTGCGATGGGGAGACCCCTGAGCTCCAGACCTCGGCCCCAGGAGGCAGGCCGTGCCCAACAAGGGGGGTGCTTAGAGCAGGGAGCAGAGGAGTCTCCCCAAGCCCAGACTTCTGTGTCAGCCCCACATCAGGACCTCAGGAATTGGGAGGTGGGGGGCAGTCACCCCTTCCCAAGCTCAAGCCTCCCCTGCGTGCCCCTCCCCTCCCACCTTCCTTGATGGGGACCGGATCAGACCAGGCCAGCACTACACGCATGGTGAAGCGGAGACTCCTCCAGACAGCTCCAGCCCCTGACGCCGCCCTGGGGGGACCAGGGAGAGAGGTGGGGACGGGTCAGCGGCCAAGCCCGCTGCTCCACAGACGGCTGGGCCAGCCTGCCTCAGTGCCCAGCGGGCCTGGGGCGGGGCCCTCCCATTGCCCCCCACCCCAGGTGGGTCAAGGTCTTAGGGCAGGGGTAAGAGCCTCTTCCAGACTCCACCTGCCCCCATCCTTCCCTCTGGGAGATGACCCCAGAGCGAGGGGAGGCCTCCCCAGCTCAGCCTTGGAAACAGGATCTCCACGCCCCTCCCCCTCCCTGGGGCATCTGCAGAGGAGTTAAGAGGCCTGAAGCTGCTACCACCTGCAAGGGCCCCGGGTGCCAAACAGAGATGGTATCTCGGCAGCTCTGCAGAGGCTGGGACATCCTGTTGGGCCAATTTACATTCTTCAGTCTGGGTTTGCTGGAGCCAAAAGTAGGGTGAGGGAGGGGGTGCCCAAATCCACAGGACCTGAAGCCAGGGCCTCGGCCTCTACGGGTGGCTGCAGTGGGTTAGATGTATAGCCCACTCCACCCTCCAGGGTACAGCTCTGGCCCAGAAGGCCCCATCTCTGGAAAAGGTGGTAAGAAGGGGGGTCCTGCCAGCTGGTCCCCACCCAAACCTCAGCCAGGGCAGCCTCACCCAATGACACTCAGAAGCTCCGAGCACACTGGGCCTGCAGGGGTGCCCTCCAGCTCCACACGTGGGCTCATGGCCTGCACACATTCCTGCACCCCCATCCATGTGTTAACCCCGCCCCCCCAGGATGCAGGCCCCTCTATCTCTGTCTGGCCACCATCCTGCTCACCAGCCTGAGGCTTCCAGTGTCCTAAGGACAAAAAGGCTGGGGTATCCACAGCCTGCTGCCCTCCGATGCTGGACAGGCTCTAGGCAACGGGAGGGCAGGTCACAGGCCATGGGCAGGCACCCACTGGCCGTCTGTCCTTGTCCTCAAGCTAGACAAGGCCCTCCCACTTCCCCTCCTAGCTGGACGAGTCTGTCCTGAGGTCCTCTGTGTGAGGGACTTCTGCTCACGGTCCCTTCATGGCCACACTCTGAGACTAGAGAATGCATGTGGACAACCCACTTCTCCCCACTGCCCACCTCCTGCCCAGACCTCGGCCTCCCGGCCCCCACATCCACCAACACAATGACCAGGCAGAGCCCGAGGGCAGCAGATACGGCAGGGGGCTCTTTATTGACAGGTATTCACAAGGTGAGGGGGTCCTCCCCAGACCGCCCTTGGTGCCCTCAAGTGCCCAGGAGCAGCCCGGAAAAGCTGGAGCCACCGTGGATGGTGAGGACTGCCCCGGAGCCGTTGTCCACGAACACGGAGGCATACTGTCCAGCCTGCAGGCGCCCCACAGTGGACATCACCACCCGTGGTGACGTGGTGGGTGATGCCCCACTTGAGTCTAAGGACGAGCCCCCTAGGCAACACCCAACCCAAGCCCACCCATGTTGTGATCTGTGCCCCAAGCGAGCGTCCAGGCCCCTCCTGCCCTGCGCTCTGCCTGCCTGGCCTCACCTGTAGCTGCAGCAGCCCCTGCACTTGCGCTGTGAAGACCCTGCTGTTGCTCTCCAGGCCCGATATGGCCTCCAGGGACCTGGACACAGCACCATAGGCAAGCTGAGGGTGCAGCTAGCTCCCATGGGCCAACCACCCCAGCAACAAGGGTGGTCCCCAGAGGATGCCGCCTGGAGCCGACAGGAGGGGCTCACTCACGCGTGGCCGTGGCACAGGGACTCGATACAGATGAGCACACGCACAGTGTCCCGGGCTCGCAGCCGGGCCCTGCTCTGCAGCTCGCTGTGGTCTGTGGAAACAGCCCCAGGAAGACAATGCATACAGGATGGGGGGGTCCTAAAGGGGACTTCAGGGCACACTGCCCAGAACAGGCCCAGAAGGGGCTGATGGGATTGGGGGAGGGTGGGTGTGAGGCCTAGAGCACAGCACTGACCCCCACCTGGTCCAGAGCCCAAGTGGAGCAGGCAGAATCTCTCTGCTGGGACCCAGCCCGGGGCTAGCCATATTGGGCACCCACCCGGGGGTGGGGGACTAACCCCACCTCCTCACTGCGCACACCAAAGCCCGGCCAGCTCACCCACGTGCAGGCTGGCAGAGAACTGGAAGATGCCGGACACTGGGGCTGTGAATCGGCCCGAAGCCAGGCTCAGACCAGACCCCCGCAGGAAGGTGCCTTGGGCAGTGGGCTGTAAGGGGCAGTGGGTGAGCAGCTGGCTGCAGGGCCTGGACCCTCACCCTGCACACCCAGCCCCAGGAAGGTGCCCACAACTGATGGCCCTGGACCCCAGCAGGTCTCTCAGGGGGTGCACACTCTCATGGTGGGCAGGACTTACTCCTATGTCCACACCTACCTGGGCCCCGGGACGCAAGCTCTGAGCCCCAAGGGGTGCACAAGGCCCCAAAAGCCCACACAGGGGAGGGTCTGCCTGCCTCCTGGCCACCCTGGACCCCAGCCCCAGTCTGGACACACTGGGTCTCCCAACCCTGACCTGAGGCCAGCCCTCACCCTCTGTGCCGACTCCCCCCACACCCCAAGGCTTGCATGTGCCCAGTAACCATCCTAGGATGTCTGTTAGTCCATCTCGCCTGTGGGGGCCCTGCCCAGCATCCTGCCCCCTGACCAGCCCCCATGCCCTACCCAGGCCTCTGCCCCCTACTCACAGCCTGGAAACTGTGCAGCTCCACCAGTGTCTTCTTGTCCACTGGCATGGGGCCCTTCAGCCGGCAGTGGAAAGCCTCAGCCACCAGCCGCAGGCCCACCCCATGGGGCAGCAGTGGGTCCAGCAGCCTTGGGAACCGACGCTCAGTGGCCTCTGTGGAGAAGAGTGCATGGGCGGCCAACTCAGGGGTCAGCACAGGGTCAGGCACCTCCTGGCCCCGGGCGGGCAGTGGGTGCAGCCTTACCTCTCAGCATGTCCTGAAACTCCCGCAGCAGGGCCTCTGGGGTAACTTCTGCACCGGGAGGCCCTGGGGGGCCGGGGGGCCCAGGAGGCCCTGGGGGACCCGAGAGGCCTCGCTGGGGGGAGGCAAGAGGAGAAAATGAGGGTCCTGGTGGGTGCACAGCCACCCCCTACCCTGGGCTCAGGCCCCGGAGAGCATCCTGGAGGTCTTGGCCCCGTGGCAGCTCAGGGCTCACCGACTTCTTGTCCCGGCCTCGGCACCGTTTCTTCGAGGCGCCGGCATCCGGCCGACGGACAAAGGTCAGCCACGTCATGTGGGCGTCTGAAGGTTCAGGCCCCAAGGCCTCAGGCGGCTGAAGGGCCAGGTGGACAGGGCTAGTATGCTGACTGCCAGGCACGTTGTCCTGACAGAGAGCTCTGAACCTCAGGACAGACACAGGGAGATGCTGTGGAGGCACCGCAGCCAGGAGGATTGCAGGCCACCGTGGGGGCCTCAGAGCCTGGACATCCTGATGGCCAGGGCAAGGCCCCAGGGCACCTGTGGAACTGGGCCGTCTTTGTCAGAGCAGCCCTGACCCCTCCCGCCTCGGGGGCTTGGCCTGGTGCCTCTTCCCATACAAATGGGCGCAGCCATGTGCACAAGGGGCAAGGGGACTTCCTGGCTGAGGCAGGGGTGGGGGCGGTGGGGAAGAGCAGGAGGAAGTCTTCCGGGGTCTCTCTGAGGGTCAATGCAGCCGGGCAGTGGGGGACCGAAGGGTGTGGCTGGAGCATGTGGCCCGCGAGAGCTCGGCCTGAAGTGCACAGATGGGCAAGCAAACGCTGGCCTGGCTGGGAGAGGGCCACTGGCGGGCCAGTCAGGTTCCAGGGACAGGCTCAGCCTCCTACCTGGGCAGGGGGGGTGGGTGGAGAAGAGCCCACCCCAGCAGGAAGAGCAGGGTCTTGGGCAGCTGGGAGGGCTAGCCTGGAGCATCACAGCCGCAGCCTCCTTGACCACAGAGGCCCCTCCCCGGCCTGTTGGTCCCCAGACTGCCCCCTGCCCACTCTCTGGAGGGGCGGCCTTCCCCTCCCCTCCCCGGTGGCTGCTGGGCTTCCTCAAAGCCCTGCATCCCTGCCCAAGCCCCCGCAGCCACAGCCGCACGCCTGCGCCCAAACCAGCCCACAGCCCTCTCTCCCTCGGCTGGCAGGGCCCTCGGACTCCACTCTTCTCGCCTGCCCATCTGGAAAATGGGGCCGCAGGCTCCGGTGGGGCCGCGTGGGCCGAGGCAGCTGGGCGGGCCGCCATGGAGACGCCCTTGGGAGGAGGGAGGCAGGGATCAAAGGCGTGAGGGCTGGGGGCCTGCCAGGGCCACCGCCTTGCCCCTCCCAGTCCTGGGGGCCCCCAGGAGGGCAGAAGCCCAGGACTGAGGTGGGCCCCAGGGTCTCCTGTCTGTGCGAGGACCCCTGACAGGCCGGGGCAAGGCAGAACCCTTCCTGCGGGAGAGGATGCAGGAGGCACGGGCTACAGGGACCGCCCGGCCATGGCTCTCCTGCCCCGGGAATAGCGGGGCACCCGGGTTCCAGCGTGCGGTCTGATGACCCCTCTGACAGGCAGCCTGGAGCCCCTCTCCACCCCCACCCGGCCCGCATTTCCAATTACACCGATGGCAGCAGATTTTCCAGAGCCCGAGGCTTCGCAGAGTTAGTCGCAGCCCCAGCCCCTGCCCACGCCCGGCCAGGGCGAGGGGCTGGCTGCGGCTTAGGAGGGGGCTCCGCAGAGGACGGACCTCGTCCCCCCCGCAGCAGGTCCCAGGACAGGGCCTGTGGTCAAGGCCTCCGGAGGGGCGACCCGGAGCCCGCGCATACCTTGGGGGAGCCCGGCAGCCCCGGGCTGTTGGACGCGGTGGCGTTGCGGGGCGCCATGCGTGGTCGGGGCTGCCGCGGCCCCTGGGGCTCCCGCCGGGCCCCGACGCCCCCGAGGAG